ACACGGCCAGTGGAGGAGTGGGCAGCACCTGACACACTCCCTCACCTCTTCCCCTTTCTTCTGGTTCCAGATCCTGCCCCTGAGCCTCAGTGCAACCCCCCTCAGTTCACGATGATAGCCTCCAACAACTGTTGAACCCTCAGGAACTAGAGGCCTGGCATCAGAGAATCAGGAAGAAGTCCTCAAAGGTAGATCTCTGATTCACAGGGGAGCAGGGCAGGGTGAGGGTGAATCATCACTTGGCACTGAGTCCTCCAGGTTCGGCTCTGGAAACTTCTGAAGCTGTAGCCTTTGGGGACCCGTCTCCAAGTATTTTGTGCTCCACTACTAACCTAAAGGGTAGTGGTTCGAACCCACCTAGCAGTGCCGCAGCAATCTGCTTTCATAAAGATTATAGCCAAGAAAACCCTATGGAGCACAGTTCTACTCTGTAACACATGGGGTCTCCATGAGTTGGAATCAACAACAGATTTTTGTCTCCGAATAAAGGAAACCAATCTATCTAAGCAAAACAGGTGGAAACATAAAGGTGTTTTATAATGGTGCCTTCAAAAGCACAGATCTTTTTCTGTTGACAGTTTGGGGACTCACAGTGTCTGGGGGCTGTTGGCATCCAGACAGGCCTTACTCCCTAAGTGGGGTTTATTCATCCTGAGGCCACAAGTTAAAATCCTAAGTTGAGTTACTTGAAGTATCAAATTGTGAGGGGCTTGGGTGGGGGGGATTGAACCTCTAAAATCTAGCCATGTTTTGCTACTTCTGCCAGTTCTGCCAATTTCCATTTTCTCCGATGTGGTGAGTAAGTGAGTCTCCAGTATCGCTAGTTCTGGCTAGGTAAGACATTCTGGTGGCCAAATAGGCATCATTTTGGGAGAGATTCCACACATGCCGCTACGGACTCAGAACATTCTGGAATTTCCCTTTGAGACTGCTTCTGTGTGCCCCACACTGACTTTAACAGGCCCCAAATCATTGCTGTGCACCTACTATGCTGTGTGCCAGCTGGGGCATGCAAATAAGTTGAACCCCCTCCCTCACAAGAAGCTCATGGAAAGGCAGGATCCAGGCCTCCAGAGTGGAATTCCTCTTTGTTTCTGACCATTATTGCAGGCCCAAGGACCCCTTGTTCCCTCATCTGGCTTTCAGTAACCAGGCTGTTGGCAGAAATCAAATCCACCCTCAGAATGAAGACTGACCACTTTGTTCAAGCCACTCATGACACGGCACTGTGCCAGTCCATGGGGACAGCTAAATCCTGCTTCCACGTCTGACTCATAAGGGTGACGGGTAGATGCACTGAGTGTTGGCTGAGCCAACTGTAACAAAGTTCCTTACAGCAGTTTCCGAAGGGCAACTCCAGGGAGGGTTTGGTTGCGGCAGTTTTGAGGGAACCAATAGTCATTTGGACGCCGAAGATCTGGTGTGTTTGGTAGTGTCTGTCTGTCTCATAGAGCCCTGGTGGCACACTGGTTAAGAGCTCAGCTACTAACCAAAAGGTCGGTGGTTCAAATCCACCAGCCCTTCCTTGGGAGCCCTATGGGGCAGTTCTACACTGTCCTGTGGGGTCGCTATGAGTCAGAATTGACTCAATGGCAATGGGTTTGGTTTTTGGTTTTGGTCTGTCTCACATGTTCCCTTTGTAATTCCCACATGCAGGTTAGGTAGGATCTTGATTTTCCTGAAACTCGACTTAGCTTATTTCTGGGGTGTGTAATGGAGCCGGTCCAGAGTGCTGTGAGGGAAGGTGCGAGACCGGACGAGCCAGGACTGGTTAGCAACTTTCTGCTATCAGGAGCCTGGGAGAGAGGTATCCCAACCCCTATCCTATCTTGCTTTTTACAAAAAGCCCATAGGATTTTTTTTCTTCCTTTGTTTTATTATTATTTTTTAACTAAGGTACAATTTAGATACAGTGAAATTCACCCTTTCTTAGTGCACAGTTCTGAACACATAGCCTTACGTAACCACCACCACAGTCAAGATATTATAGAACATTTATATCCTCCCTCAAAATTCCCCCAGGCCCCTTTGGAGCCACCCCAGCCCTGGCAACCACTGATATGCTTTCTGTCACTGTAGTTTTGCCTTTTGCAGAAGGTCATATAAATGGAATCACACAGCGTGTAGCCTTTTGAGTCTGGCTTCTTCCACGAGGTTCCTCTGCATTGTTTCCCGTATCAGTGGCTCTTTCCATTCTATGGCTGAGCAGTATTCCATTGTATGGACAGATCACTGTTTATTCATTCACCAGTTAAATGAATAATTTCTTTTATAAGGATCAGCACAAAGCTCGTTCCTATGAGGCAGAGCTTAAAGATGTCCACCTTTTCCAAATTGCTGTACCACTCCATCATCTCTAACATCAACTACTCGCCCTCCAACAGTACTCTTCCTTCCATCTTTGGGTTTGGTAATTTGCTGCAACATCTCACAGAACTCAAGAACTGTACTTACAGTTAAGTGGTTTATTAGGGAAGTAACAGGGTACAATTCAGGATCAGGATCAGAAACAACTTAGGATACATTTCTTCAATCAGGACAGCTTCTTCTCAGCTTCTGCTGCTGGGCCCTGCTGCTGCTGGGGGTCTTCTTAGGCGAGTATTACAACTCTTAGCTCCATGGGTCGGCAAGCCCCACCGCAGCCGTCTCTCACCCCCTTCTCTTGCTGTCTTCCATGTTCCAGCTCCTGTCTCTCTCTCTGTCTCCCTTTGAGCCTAGAGGAATGGCAAAACTGACCAATCCCCTCGTTAGAGTTTCATACAGCTTATTTGCATGGTTCTACCCCCCTCAAGGGTGCCATGCACCTTATTTACATCATTAGCAAGCTATCTAATCCTCCTGGTGGGCCACAAGCATCTCATTTGCATAGTCCCACCAGTCATTTAGTGAGAGTTACAAAGACTGTGGCTAGAGGGCCATATTAACTAATTCACCACACTGCACTGGTGAAAGCATTCCAACTTTTGGTGATTATAAATAAAGCCACAATAAACAATCGTGCACAGGTTTTTATGTGAACAAAGGTTTTTATTTCACTAGGAGTAAGATTAAGAAGCCCTGGTGACCCCGTGGTTAAGCACTTAGCTGCTAACCAACAGGTCAGCTGTTCAAACTCACTGGTGGCCCCACAGGAGAAAGATGTGGCAGTCTGCTTCTGTAAAGATTACGGCCTTGGAAACTCTATAGGTCAGTTTTACTCTGTCCTATAGGGTCACTATGAGTGGGAATCAACTCGATGGCAACAGGTTTGGTTTGGCAGAAGTGGGATTGCACACAAGTTGTTCAGTGACATTGGTTACATTCTTCACAATGCGTGAACATTCTCATTATTTCCGTTCTGGTTGTTCTGTTTCCAATAATCTAGTTTCCCTGCCCCATTACATTCTCATCTTTGTCTTAATTATTGAGTGTTTGATCTCATATGGGTGATTTTTTAAAGGAGCACAGTACTTATGGGTGACATTCATTTTTTTTTAAGCCTTTTTAATGAACGGGTGAACAATTGATGAGAGTAGTAATACAATTTTTTTTTTATTAAAGCTTTCTCATCATCTGTATCACACGTCACACAAGCAGAGCGTTCGCTCTAAGTACTCGGTGTGCTAAGCACTGTACACCACAGCATTTTACTGACCTTGGTGACCTTGGGCAAGTCATGTGGCCTCTCAGAGCCTCAGTTTCCCCACCTGTAAAATGGAGGTAACAACGTGAGGATTAAATAATACACGTTGAGAGCTTGGAACAGGCCTGGCACACAGCAGGGCCATGTCAGCACTCGCTGTTGTTAAAATGTTCATTACCTGGCCCCTCTCATGTTGTCTGCATAGTACCCCTAGGAGGAAAAATCTACTCTTCATTTTACGGAGGAGGGCCCTAAAGCTGGGAGAGGTCAAGCAACTTGTGCAAGATCACAAAGGCTATAAATAAGTAAATAATGGGTCCAGCATTTGAACTGAAGTCGACTGACTCCAAACCCACCCTCTTGTCTCTTCCTCGTTGAGAGCTCAAGATCTGCTGTGGTGTCTGTCAGGGCCACGTTTCCAGCAATATTCTGAAATGCCCAGTCAAAAACCACAGCCCTAAGGAGAGTTTTTGTTTGTTTATTTTAAGTTAAAACTTCCTGATCATGTCCCAGGCTGACTAAGGTTACCACCAAAACACAAGGACAACCCTTGCCTGATGTTTTTGGCAAATGGTTGCCCATCAGTGTGGTAAGAAACATTAGTCAAACTAGAAAGGCCCACCCAGAATCATGTTAAGAACTTTGAAAACCTAAACATTGGCAAAAGGATGGTGCTGCCATGTTTAATTCTGCATTAAATTAATATAATAAAATACTAGAGTGTAAGTGTGAGGAAGTCCAGGCAGCTCTGCTTTGTTCCCCACGATGACAGCTCTCCTGCTATTTATTTATGTAACTTTTTAAATTTTGAATTTTCTCCCCAATATTGGCTCAGGACCCCTGCTGTGGTGTGTGTCCCAGTCCAGAGTCCTTGCTGGCAACGTTATCTTGGGGTCAGTGAGTGGGCAGGGAGATCTGGAATCCACCTGCTGGGCAGCAGGACAAGGCCAGTGGTCTTCTTTCTCAGAGGTCCCAGCCTACACAAGGCAGACAGTCACCAGAGGCTTTTGCTAAACTGCTGCCCGAGAAGGGGGGCACTCAGCAGCCCATCACTAAACAAAACAGGTAGCGCTTCCCCTTTGTGCCAGGGCTGTCAACTCTCATAAACTTCAAAACCCAGTGAGGTGGATACAACTGCCATCCCCATTGTATAGATAGGGAAACTGAGGCCAAAAAGAGTTAAGTAACTAGCCCTAGGTCAGGGGGCTAGGAAGTTCTGCAACCGGGAATCAAACCCTGTCATCTGGCTCCAGAGCCAGCACTATGATGCCCTGACCTCTCAAGCAGTCATCCCCGCCCCCACCCCTCTAAGTGACCACTTGCCCCTTCTTCTCTATGCCCCTCTCAGGTGGTAACGTTTTCTGTACCTCCTTTCCCCATTAGACGTGTCCTTAATCACAGGCACCTCAGATTCTCAGAACCAAGTGGGATGTGGTCACCCACAGATGAGGAAACAGGTGTATGACAGGCCCATGCCCCCCAAATCATAAAGGTAGTGGGGAGAGGAAAAGAAGCAGGTACAAAAAAACAACCAGAAATACTTACCAAGCGTCCACAGCATGCCAGACACTGTTCCAGGCATAGGAGACCCAGCGGCGACAGGACCCAGTCCCTGTCCTGGTGGAGATCACAGGTCACAGCCTTGGGAGGTGGGGGGCAGTAATCATGAAAACCAAGGAACAAGATAATTTCAGATTTCAGTGGGAGATGCTCTTGAGAAAACGGGGTAAAGTGAAAGGCATGAGGGGCGGTCGGGACGCTTAGGCAGGAAAAGCTGCTATCCTCACCTCGCTTTATAGGGACCTGCATGGTAAGGACAGGGACAGTTCTGGGGCACCTCGTTGCATTCTCCCACAGCCTAGAGAAGAGGGCCCGTTAACCCGTTATCATCCAGTCAATTCTAACTCATAGCAACCCTACAGGACAGAGTAGAACTGCCCCATAGAGTTTCCAAGGAGCAGCTAGTGGATTCAAACTGCCGACCTTTTGGTTAGCAGCCCAACGCTTAACCACTGCGCCACCAGGCAGGTGGGTATTTTTATCCCCACGTTAAAAAAGGGGGTACCTGGACAGGGATGCAACCTGCCCAGAATCCCCTCACCCAATCAGGCCCAAACCCTGTGAGATCTCCGACGAGCAGATTTAAAGCTGCCCGAAAGGGGTGGGGTCTCCAGGGGGCGTGACAGATCCCGGTCCCGCCTCTTCCCGGAGCTGCGCGTCTCGCCCGGGGGCAGGAGGCGTCCGTAACCTATTGACCTAGGCAGGAGAAGGGGCTCCAGGAAGGCTAGGTCACAGCGCGCAAGGTAGAAGGCGGCCGCGATTGGCTCTCCCAAAGGATGGGCGGGGCCTCCCCCGGCAGGTGCGCGCGCCACGGTAAGGCGTTGCCGAGGGGGGAGAGCGGGAAGAGGCGCGGCTGCGCGCGGGCGACCGTTTGCAGCGCGGCCCCGCCCCGGACGTCGCGCGTCCCGGGTCGGGCTACGGCCATTGGCCAACGCGGCGCGGGGGGCGGGGCAGAAGGTTCTGGAGGGGGCTGGCGGGCTCTGGAAGCTTCCGCCAGACGGGTATATAGAGTCCGGGACGGGGCGGAGCCGGGGGACGGTAAGAGCGGGGCGGTAGGGGCCATGGGCAAAGACTACTACCAGACGCTGGGCCTGGCCCGCGGCGCGTCGGACGAGGAGATCAAGCGGGCCTACCGCCGCCAGGCGCTGCGCTACCACCCGGACAAGAACAAGGAGCCCGGCGCCGAGGAGAAGTTCAAGGAGATCGCCGAGGCCTACGACGTGCTCAGCGACCCGCGCAAGCGCGAGATCTTCGACCGCTACGGGGAGGAAGGTGCGTGCGTGCGTGCGCTCGTGGCCGGGGCGCGTCCCCGCCGTTTGACAAGCTGGGAAACCAAGGCACGGCGGCCCTACGCGACCGGCCCCACCGCCGCATCCTGCAGGGTCGCCCGGCACGGAGGGCGAGCGGTCCCCGCCGTCTGTCCCAGCAGGCCTCCGCCCTCGGATTGGCGGCTGCCTGATGGGAGGAGGAGCCCTGGCCGCGCCGCTCGTCCAGAAGGTTCTAGCATGTCTGGGGCTGCCCCTCCCTGGGCGCCGCCACCCACGTCCCCGGGCGGCTCGGTGTGACGGGGGTGCTGGTGGGGACGGAGACCGAGCTCGTTCATTGCGCCACGGCCCGCATGCTCACCTGAGCCCACCTGGCTCGACCGGGCTGTGGATTGTGGGGCGGCGCCTCGGAGCGCTCCGGGCACAACCTGCGGGTGGGGGGACCGGAGATGAGGGCGCCTGTTGGCATCGCTCCCACTCCCGGCCCCGGCAGGGTGGGGTGAGGTAATCCCTGTAAAGTACTTACCTAGCCGTGTAAGGCACGTAGGAAGCAGCCACCGCCGACTGCGGCCGTGCAGGAGCCAAGAGTCGCCTAGGCCTGGCCTCATAGGATAGCTTTTTCGACAAAAAAGAAAGACTTGTCCATTTGCCCGTTGATGACTCAGCCTGGCTTCTGGACTCTAGTCTCAAGAAATCTACTGACTTTATATAAGATGGTGGCAAGTCACGACAGGGCGTGGTGGCGAAGATTTTTGAAAAATCGGTTTACTTTTTACCTCCGCTTCTATTCTCCCTACCATCCTTAGCATCCAAAACTGGTTGCCGTCGATTTGGACTCATAGCGACCCTGTAGGACAGGGTAGAACTGCCCCACAGGGTTTCCAAGGCTGTACTCTTTGGTGATGCAATGGTTAAGAGCTCAGCTGCTAACCAAAGGATCAGCAGTTTGAATCCACCAGCCCCTCCTTGGAAACCTATGGGGCAGTTTTACTCTGTCCCACAGGGTCGCTACGAGTCCAGATCAACTCGACGGCGGCACCGGGTTTTTACCGATTAATCTTGTTTAGTCTTATAGGAAGCAGACTGCTGATAGGTTTGAACCTGTGACCTTTCAGTTAACAGCTGGAGCACACTTAACCACTGTGCCACCAGGGCTCTGATATTATCTTCACTGTCTCTATTAAGAGTAAATATTCACCGAAGACTTATTTTAAGTTATGTCTTTTCCATTTCATCTCTTGGTGAATTCTTGTAATGTTTTGGGGAGGATGAGTTACCAAGAAGTGGCAGGGACTAGGTGGTACCTAGAGAGGTTCGCCTGAGCTTAAGCCCAGGCTGCTGTCATGCTGTGCTAAGCACCTGTAGGGTCTGTCTGTGCTGCTGCATCAGGAGGCAAACCTTGGGGCTCTTCTTGTTCTTCCCTGACAAACTGAAAAAAAAGAAGCCCCTTTTTCCCAATGGTTCCCAGGGTTTTTCCCCTTAAGGAAAACTCCCAGAGAAAAAAATCTCCTGGCCAGCTGTCTAACAACTTTTAATTTTGCTTTTCAGGTCTAAAGGGCGGTGGTCCCAGTGGCGGGAGCAGCGGTGGTGCTAACGGTACTTCTTTCAGCTATACATTCCATGGAGACCCTCATGCTATGTTTGCCGAGTTCTTTGGTGGCCGAAATCCCTTTGATAACTTTTTTGGGCAGCGGAACGGGGAAGAAGGCATGGACATCGATGACCCGTTCTCTGGCTTCCCCATGGGCATGGGTGGCTTCACCAACATGAATTTTGGCCGTTCCCGCCCTGCCCAGGAGCCCACCCGAAAGAAGCAAGATCCCCCCGTCACCCACGACCTTCGGGTCTCGCTTGAAGAGATCTACAGCGGCTGTACCAAAAAGATGAAGATCTCCCACAAGCGGCTGAACCCCGATGGAAAGAGCGTTCGCAGTGAAGACAAAATCTTGACCATCGAAGTGAAGAAGGGGTGGAAAGAAGGGACCAAAATCACCTTCCCCAAGGAAGGAGACCAGACCTCCAACAACATTCCAGCTGACATCGTCTTTGTTTTAAAGGACAAGCCACACAATATCTTTAAGAGGGATGGCTCTGACGTCATTTACCCCGCCAGGATCAGCCTTCGGGAGGTAAGGCACTAGGCAGGATGGGAGAGGGCTGCTTTGTGAGGCAGTGTTTGCTGGACAGTTATTTGTGAGCACTTGTTGTGGGCCAGGCTCAGGGGATGTTGCATGAACAAGACTGACAAGGGTCCTGTTCTTCCACAGCTTCCGTGCTGGTGACCCGGTAGATTTGGGGTCAGGCTTTTAGCTGCAGAGGTCTGATGGGTCTTCCTTACAGCAAACAACCTCTGGGAAGGAGTTAAGCTTCTTAAGCTATCTTTCATCTAATACTGTCCCTTTGCTTTCCAAGGCTCTGTGTGGTTGCACAGTGAACGTCCCCACTCTGGACGGCAGGACTCTACCCGTTGTGTTCAAAGATGTCATCAGGCCTGGCATGCGGCGAAAACTTCCTGGAGAAGGCCTCCCCCTCCCTAAAACGCCCGAGAAACGCGGAGACCTCATTATCGAGTTTGAAGTGATCTTCCCTGAAAGGATTCCCCAGACATCAAGAACCGTACTTGAGCAGGTTCTTCCAATATAGCCACCTGCACTCCCCAAAGACTGACCAGGGACCTTTCAGAGCTCAAGGATTCCAGATTGTTCCACCCAGTTGTGGGCCCGCAAGAGGGCGGGAGGGCCCAGGAAGGGCTTTCGTACTGCTGAATGTTTTCCAGAGAATATATTACAATCTTTCAAAGTCGCGCACTAGACTTAAGTGGTTTTTCGAGCGATAGGGCTGCAGGTGGTGGGGACAGCAGGAACAGGTACTCCAGCCTGCCTCTCTGAGTCCTGCAGCCCTTCCCCTCCTCTTCAGTCCCCACCCAGGGGCAGAGGCCGACCCACAGCTGGACTTGATCCCCTCTGTAGTTCTGTGCTTCCTTCTGGCTATCCCACTGTCTTGGTTACCAGACACTGTACACTCTTCAGCATTTGTTGTATGCTCAGTTTGTGTCTTGTTTTTTGTTGTCTCCCACGTCTTGCTGTTCCCTTGCAGAATCCTGTTTTCTCTTTGGCCATCTCAAATTGAGAACTTAGACCATTTCTGCAGAACTGCCTAGCCGGCACCCACAAGCAATACCTCTCGTTCCAGCAGGACCAAGGGAGTCGGCCTCACGCCAGCAACTTGCACCACAGCCTCCTGGCAAAGGTCTGGGGGCCCTGGGACCCTGACGCTGGTGAGGCCAAGCGTGCTCACTTAGGAGTCACACTCTTCCTTCTCTGTAAGGCAATCTTTTGGCACACCTGGGCTTCACTGGAGCCCAGGGAATTTTTTGTTCCCTTCTGAACTGATGGACTCTGGACTCTTTCAAAGGGATCTGATCCTTTTGAATTTTGCACAGCCCTAGATATAATCCCTTTTGATAAAAGGGTCTTTGCTTCTGATTACAGGAGCACTGTGGAACGTCTGTAAATACGTTTTTATAATTCCATGTAAAGTTGGTGTGCACTCAAATGAAGCCAGTCCAGGACAGCCGCTGCTCTCTGTATAGAGCCATATTGCAGTCTAGAAGAAACCTTGGCGGGAGGTGGAGGGAGTTGGAACAAGTGTCTGTTCCCTGGAGGCCAGTTCTGGTGCTCAGCCCTTTAGAGTCATTGTAAGTTGCCACTGCTGACCCAAGACTAAAGCCTGTGACTTGTCATTGTGCAGTGCAAAGGCATTAAAGACTGATGCGAAACCTCAGGGGAGCGGTCCTGCGACTCTGTTTGAAGGTTCTTATGGCTCTGGGGGTAGGGCTGGGCTGGGCATCTCTCCTCCAGCCACAGCCAGGGCTGGAAGGGACGGTCACTTCATTAACACTTGGGGAGGGTCGGGAGGACAGGCTGAAGGACTCCACTGCACGGGAGAGGCCTCCCTGGGCCAGATCCAGATGTCCAAAGAGGCTGAGTGCTTTGCATTGACAATTGTATTTTTGGTAAAGATCGGGGCCAGAGTTAAAGGGAGAGGACTGAGCCACTGCTTCCCCTTCCTGTCCTCTGGGGGTCCCGACTCCATCCCACCTGGTGATGGGACTCACTCAGGTCAAGGGGAGGTGCATGTGCTGTAGTTCCCATCTCCTTTGTTGCTGGGTGTAGGGCAGGCTTTAAGAACCTGGGTTTAATTGTAAGATAACCAATTACACAGAGTTGAGACAATGTATTGCTGCTTTACTACAAAATGTTTTAAAGTAATTCATACTGTCTATTAAAGTCTACCTAGGAGGTTCTTTGCCTACCCACTGAAACAATCCAACCACTGAAAACAGTCTAGGGGCAACAGCACTAGCTGATACAAGTCTCTGTGACAATGGGAATGTACTGTCTACTATTTAATCTTAAATTCTTTAAAGTTCAATAAAATCATAAATTCTGTTCCTAAGTTGAACTAGCCATGTTTCGAGAACGTGGCAGCCACACATGATCAGTGGCAACTGACAGTGCAGATGTAGAGTTCTTTTTTTCCTTAATAAAACAGCAGTATTAACACGGGAGCATTGGTGGTTCAATGGTAGAATTCTCTCACCTTCAGGCCTGAGAGACCCAGATTCAATTCCTGGCCAATGCACTGACCCTGGAGGCTTGTGTGTGGCTGTGATGCTGAGCAGGTTTCAGTGGAGCTTCCATACTGGGAAGAAAGGCCTGGCAATCTACTTATGAAAATCAACCAGTGAAAACCCTATGGATCATTACTGTCCAAGCTACAGTTCATCATGGACTAGGCAGTGTTTTGTTCCCCTGTGCATGGTCACCATGAGTAAGGGACCAACTCACCGGCAGCTAACAACAATATTAAACCAGGAGACGCCACCCTAGGCAAAAGGTGGCCCTGGACCATTAGAGCCAAAAGGGACCTACTGAAAGACATGTTCGGGACATGCTCTCGGGCACCAGAGACACTTGTAGTTTAAAACTGGCCCTGGCCTGGCCTCCTCTGGGTCTCAGGTCCCCAGGGCTGCCGTCCCTAGTCTCCATTGTACAGCAGGGTCCCTGTGAACATCATACTGAAGCCTCAGACACAAACGTGCACAAAACCTGAGTGTACACACAGTTCTGGGAGTTTCCACAATATGCTGAGCAACCTGGAAGCGAAGCGGGGAGGTGATAACTTTGGGGAAAAGTTCATGGTAAAAAAAGCAGGACGGGGGAGGGAAAGTCTTTCCTTGAATGTGAGGGGGTTCTGCCCAGGGGCCACCACTGGGACCAGCTGTGTGCTTCCAGAGGTCTTTGGTGCCTGAAGGAGTCTGGCCTTCTGCCTACTTGACTTCCCTGTAATGTACTTATTTTCATTTTCCCAAGCTGTCTCTAAGCACTTCTTGGAGCACCTTCCATGTGGGTACGTGTGGAACTGCCTCATTCTCTTTGCCCACCCACATAATAATCCACTGTACCATCAGTATTTCATTTTTATGTGATTTGAATGTGGTACAAAGCTGGAAATGTACCCTCGGCCTGCGGGGAGAAGTCAGCCCCCTCCCGCCCCAGCTTGCAGGTCCCTTTCCTGCCTACAAATATTTGCATCATAGACTTTTTCCTTTTTAAAAAAAAAAAACACTTTTTTATGCATTCTCCAAGGAAGAGTCTGTCTTACATAAGCATCAGCATAATTTCTAAATTTTCAGTTTCATTTCTCGGATGCATAATCAGTACAAAACAAAAGGGTACACAGAGTGAAAATCCTCCCTCCCTCGCTCCCTGAGACTTGGTTCCCTAGCACTGCTATAACGCAAATACAGTGAGTGGCTTTAAAGAAATGGATTTTCTCACAGTTCTGGAGACCAAAGGTCCAAATCAGCGTCTCAGCTGTGTTGATTCCTTCCTTGTCAGTAGCCTCAGGCAGTTCTCACATAGCATCTGTCTTCCCCTGTGTGTGTGTCCTCATGTCTGTCCTGGTCTTTTTATAATTCATGTGTGATGAGGTTTTTGATCCACCCTACACCGGTTTGACCACCCTGACATAACAAAAGCTATTTCCCCACATGATCACCGGTGCCAAAAAAAACCGGTACCATCGAATCGATTCCAACTTGTAGCTACTCTATAGCACAGAGTAGAACTGCCCCATAGGGCTTCCAAGAAGGAGTGGCTGGTGGATTTGAACTGCCAGCCTTATGGTTAGCAGCCGAGCTCTTAACCACTGCATCACCAGGGCTCCGATCACAGGTACAGGGGCCAGGAATTCAACACATATTTTGTTATTGCTAGGTGCTGTTAAGTTGGTTCCGACTCATAGCTACCCTATGCACAACAAAACGAAACACTGCCCGGTCCTGTACCATCTTCCCAATCCTTGCTATGCTTGAGCCCACCACTGCAGCCACTCTCATTGAGGATTTTCCTTTCACTGACCCTCTACCTTAAGAAGCATGATGTCCTTCTCCAGGAGCTGGTCGCTCCTGATAACACGCCCAAAGTAAGTGAGACAAAGTATCACCATCCTTGCTTCTAAGGAGCATTCTGGCTGTACTTCTTCCAAAACAGACTTGTTCATTCTTCTGGCAGTCCACGGTATATTCAGTATTCTTCACCAACACCATAATTCAAAGGCATCAATTCTTCTTTGGTCTTTCTTATTCATTGTACAGCTTTTGCATGCATACGAGGCGATTGAAAATACCATGGCTTGGGTCAGGCGGTCCCTAGCCCTCAAAGTGATATCTTTTGTGGGGGACACAATTCAATCCATAATACACTCCCAACAAATGCTCCCAGTTTCTCACGTGCCTTTCCTGGGATGCTGCACAAATACATACGTTTTTGCCTTTTCTCACACAAACGGTACATACTATGTACTCCTGCACCGTTTTCTTTTTTCACATACTATATTGTGGAAATAAAGAGTTTCCTCATTCCTGTTAAGGCCACAACTTTATTCCACCAGCCCTGCCTGGATAGCTGTGGAAATCCAGTTCAGTGGTGGCCCCTGGCTCTTCTCTGGCTGTTGTTCCTGTTTCTAGGTTTGAGTCCGAGCTCTACCACTTCCTAGCTGTGTGGCCTTGGGCAAGTGAATGGATGAATGACGAAGTGACCAAGTGACTCAAACAAGATGGCCTGCAACATTTGTCCTAGGACCACTATGTCAGGGAGTGAGCAGAAAAAGGACAGCCCAGCCCTGGGGTCTGCTGGTGGTCTCCCCACACAGAGGCCTCCCATGCCCTGGTCCCTCCAGCTCCCCGCAGGGAGAAGTCAGTGTGTTCTCTGGCTCCAGGAGAGCCCCTCTTTCCTGGGGGACCTGGTCCCACTCCATAATTCATGTATTTAGGGGGCCAGATCACTCCAAAGCCAAAGACAGAGAGGCTGAACACAGCAGTCCAGGGGCACTTCATGAGTCTCACAGCCTCCTGGGAAACACAGACCTGGGTGTCGGAATGTCCTATGGCTGCCGTAACAAAGCACCACACACTGGGTGGCTTTAGGCAACAGAAATATGTCTACTCACAGTTTTGGAGACCAGAAGTCTGAAATCAAGGTGTCAGCAAGGCCATGCTCCCTCCAAAGGCTCTAGGGGCGGGGACTTCCTTGCCTCTTCTAGCTCCTGGTGGCTCCAGGCATTCCTTGGCTTGTGGCAGCATCACCCCAATCTCTGCCTCCATCTTCACATGGCCTTCTCCTCTGTGTCTGTGTCTTCTCTTCTATCTCTTATAAGGACAGTCATTGGATTTAGGGCCCACCCCTAAATCCAGGTAACCCAGGATGATCTCATCTTGAGATCTTTAATTACGTCTGCAAAAACCCTTATTCCAAATAAGGCCACATTCTGAGTTCCTGGGTGGACAGTACCTTTTGAGGGGCCATCATTCAACCCACTACACTGGGCAAGGCACTTCCTGTGAGCGGAGAGCTTGGCAGCAGGTGGCCTGGCAGGAGGGGGAAGCACATGGCCAGGGGACAGGACTGCTCAGGGCTCCAACATGCCATGTAAGCTGAGACCCCATGAATGAGGAAGAAGAGGGTAAGGAGGAGCAAGGCCAACCTGGGAGTGTCGGCCAGAGGCCTCATGTGATCCAAACAGGAAAGCAGGGTGGGGCACGTCCAGAGATGAGACAAGCCAGGGCGTCAGGGCTCTGCTGAGGCAGGCCCCAGCCCGGGGTGGAGGAGAACCTGGTTCAAAAGGTTTGAGTCAGGACAGACATGGCCTGGAAGTAGAGACCAGACCTCGGTGGTTTTGTTTGGTCTGGGGTCCCATTTTCCTCGGGGAGATTATGCTGAACATTAGTGTGGCCAGGTCTGATTACAGAAGAAACACAGCTCTCAGGGAAGGGTTCTTTGAGGGTAGATGGCCTCATGGGGAGGGCCCTCAGCAGAGGCGGAAGGAGCCCTGAGTCAGGTGCTCACAGGAGCCCTCCGGCTGCTGTGGGGGGAACAGACTTTAGGGGTAAGTGCTGGCGGGGGGGCAGGGGGCAGGACTAGGTGACTGTGCTGGTCCACACACTAGTCCAGGCAGGAGATGACACTGGTGTCCCAGACCAGGGTGGGGACTGTGGAGGGGGTGAGAAATAATTTGAGACACATTTTGAAAATATTTGCTAGTGGATCAGAAGTGGGGTGTCAAAGAAAGCAGAGTTTAGGCCAACTGCAAGGTTTGGCCCCTGAGCAACTGCAGCTGCTGTCCCCAGTCCCCCTGAGCTGAGGAAGACATTCCTGGCCTTCCTTGGCTTCTAGATGCATCACTTCCATCTCGGCCTCAGTCTTCACATGGCCATCTTC